GGTCTTGATTAGGGGGTGGAACCATATATGACTTAAAAAGTGTATCATGGTGATTTTGCAGTATCTGGATAACTAAAAATCCTCACGAGTGAATTGAAAAAGCTGTCTTCTGCTCAGGTTAAGGTTGGTTGGAGCTATGCTTGAAATTATATTGCAAACTCTTTGCTGAATGCACTGTTGCCATTCCAACTTTCAAAGTACCTGAATATAAAAAAATAAATACTGCATTTTATTTGGATGTAACTGTTAGCATTTCATCAATGGTTTGTTATCACTTTCGTAGTTCTTTTTAACAAGTGGAAGTTATCGTCGCTGCCAGAAATTGCAGATATTTACAATGTGACTTGACTTTTTTACTGTCTAAAAAATATCATGTGAACACAGCAAAGGATGATACGGTCATTTTCCCGCCCTAGTAGGTTCAAAACCGCTAAAAGGAGTGTGAGAGTGAGAGTCCATCAACTACAGTGTATACACACCCGCACAGCCCTCAGAGGACATCTAATCAGCCAAAATAATTGAAATCTGTGGATGTGGGTGTAGAGTACTATGAATGATTCAGGGGTCGATCATTTGCATTCACTTAATGTTAATTTGTTAGGTTAGACCCTCATCATGCAATATAAAGATGAAAGTTTTTAGTCCAACCAACCTGTCATTGAAACTTAATGTGTACAAGAATTTTTTTCAAGCTTTTCACTAACTCTAGATACAGAATGAAGGCCACATAGCAATTATTTCCTGTATATTATCTTGAGAATGCATAGAAAAATCTTCGAAATAAACTGTAAAGGTTATTAGTATTCATTTTAAAAAGGCAGTAAGATATTGTCAGAGAAAGTTAATAGAGATTGAATTTATTTTCATTGTATCATTTGGTTCATAAGAGTTCATAAGATTTACTATAACAAAATCAATTTCTGCTTGACTTTGCAAACTGTTCTAACCATTGCAACATGTGTGCATGACTATTCCATGAAAGGCAACATTTCCAGAGGAATCAATGTAACCCTGACCTCCTCTCTCTTGGGTAGCCAATCAACAGGAACGAGGGATTTTAAAGCTGCCATTTAAGCCACCAAATTGCCATGGTGATGCTTGTTCCAAGCTGGCATGATATGGTTGTGGGCTGGAATCATCTAGTTTGCTGGCTAAAGGTTACCACTGGAGACAACCCTCGTGATATTTGTTGACATTTTACAAATGGTCAGCAGCTCCCATTACACCCCACCCCGATGGCTACAGAGAGTCTGTGCGAGGGATCATGTCATGTAAAGTTTTGGGGGAAACAAACACGAAGAAGTTTATGACTGAACTTGCTGTAAGGAGGCAAACGTTTTGACTTTGACTGTACATCTGTTGTCCCTGCGGCAGTTAATGAAAGAGCAAAGAGACATCGTCAGGGTGTGATACAGATGAAATAATTGCCAGTGTCACCACATTATCGAATACCCTCAGCCAGAACAGAATTAAATTGTCCCATTCTCTTGAAACCCTGCGATTATCTTTGACAGCCTAATCCTACCAACACACAGTACTCAATGATCCATCATCTGTGTTTGAACACTGCTTCATTAGTCCAGTAGGCACAGAATATTCCTCTGATAGTGTGAGGGTTTGGTGGGAAGAGAGCCTGTATATTATACAGCGTGTGTGTGTGTTTGTGTGTGCGTGTGCGTGTGTGTGCGTATACAGGGGGTGAAAGAGAGAGAGCCACCAAGTTATTTGAAGGTTGTGAGTCTGACACTTGCAGGCGTGCTGTCTCTGATCAGAACACTGTTGCATATGAATGACCCCCTACCTACTCGCCATGAATGTACAATGCACTGGAGGTCTCTCTCTCTCTTTATCCTTTTCTATGTCTCTCTCTCTCACACACACAGACACAAGCGCGCACACAAACACATGCACTCTGAACTGATAGACAGGATGCGAATGCTTTGACAGAAAATGTGATTCATTATGGCTGTCACTGCTGCCTTGTCAAGCTACATTACAGAGCAGAGGATGTCTTGCAACACGGTATACTGTGTGACATGCAATAGACTATTGCATGCGTGATGTAATGATGCTTCTAACCTTGACTAATTTAACATGACAACATCAAATGGATGTAAGCAAATGGCAGTTCATTAATAGATATGGACACACACTCAGAACATGTTACTGTGTAGTATGTAGTCCCATGTAATATGAATGAACTCCATCAATTATAAATAGGATGTATGGTACTTCTCTCTCTATGCTGTGAGCAAACACTATGTGTGCATTATCATTCAAACAACAATTACATCATTTCTTTTACACAGGCAGTTCCTCTTCTAATGACTTCCTATCTTTTTGCTTTCTTTACTTATCTCAAAGTGCATTCCTCCGTCCCTCACTCGGTTTACAATAGGGCTTCTCATTGCAAATGAAATAAAAGAAATGTGGCATGTTCTCACTTCGCCTTGCTGTCTTTTCTACATTTCTCTTCCTGTCTTTGGAGCGTGCTCCCTCAGATGCCTGTACATCACATGCTGCCTTGGGTCCTAATCTGTCTCTGCTCATCTTCATCACACTCTGGAGGTTTGAACCAGCACATCAGGAGCAGGTGCAATGCGAATATAAAACTAGCCCTCCACCGCCAGCATGTACATAAGCATATTGCTTGCTCAGTTGCATTTTAACAGTGTTTCAACCTTAGATCTCGGCTTCCCCACAGTTTCTGTCCAGTATATCTTCCCTAACCTGTGACCAAACACAAAGCCAGTGAACCCATCTGTTTTATAAACCACATCCCTCACACAACCAGCAGGTAGGAAGTTGTGTTCTTACCTTCTCCCCCTAGCTTGATTTCCAGGCCCTCCAGGGAGTTGGCTGAGTCCCCCTCCTCCAGGGAGAGCCTTCCAAACACGGTGCCAGCCATGGTGAACAACACCTCTCTACAGTGCACACACTCACAGTAACACACCCAATACTGTATCTGAAGCAGACTGAGAGATCTCCCTCCCTCCCTCTCCCTCTCCCTCTCTTTCTCTCTCTCTCTCCCCCTATCTGTCCCTGATTCTCTCCTCTTTTTGCCAAAACAAAGCTCCTTTCGCTCTTTCCTCCCTCTTCACCTGCTCTTGACGTGAATGTGTATAAGCTATGCCTGGCTGAGCGTCTTCTCCTCCGCATGAATGAATGGAAACGAGAGAGGGTTGTGTGCATGAGCAAAGGAAGGGGAGAGGAGGGAGGGAAGTATGATGCTTTCTCTAGGAGGACGGGGAAAAGGAGGCAGGACGTTTTTCCCTCCAGGCTTCCCCGTGGGGGTTAACTGGGGGAAAGAGCGGCAGAAGGTTGGCTCGTAGGAAGGAAGGAGGATCAGGAAAGAGGGCGGGGCATAGGGAGCTGACACATATATGAGTGAGGACCCTTCGTTACTGACATCACAGACACAGGTACACACACAGATGCACTGTAAGTGAAGGCTGCTTATTGAGAAATGTGTATTTGTGCTTTCTGTTCATAAATCACTTATCTGAGTCGGTTCGCTGACAGGAGTTGAAACATATCTGAATATCTATGGAACTGACCCTTCTCTAACCCCTCTCTGTGCCTGCGCAAAAAATAGCCTTGCTGAAAATGCTGCTTTTTAAATAAAAAAATAAAAACAGACATGAATTGTTTTGGAGAAACAATTTACTGTGTGTTACTAAAAATGCCAGT